CCCCTCATCCTGCCCGCCCAGGGGAGGCAGCGCTGCGCCACTGCTTCTGTCTATAAGGGGAAGCTCAAGACTGACTCCTAGAAGTACCCTGAAACTTAAAAATAAGTTTAGGTGGCTTGACTGGGGTTATTTGGCAACACGGTGGCAGAGGTCTGAGAACCCACTCAGGTCTCTCTGCCCCCCCAAACATCCTCTGTGGCCAGGAAAGCATCCTCGTGCTGGGCAAAACCACATACTGCTGTTCACCCTGCTCCACCGCCTCTGCTTTTTACTAGAGGCACCAGCGATGGGAGCAGCACATGCTGCACCTTGGAGGCACCAACTGGACCCACAGAGCATCAGCTGCAGCAGCTCCAGTCACCAGGGAAGTTTCTGGGCCCTCACCTTGTTGCTTCAGCCAGGCCCGCTCCTGAATGAAGCCGATGAAGGGGGCTATGCCTGTCCCCGGTCCGATCATGATGACGGGTGTGCTGGGTTTGAAGGGCAGGCGAAACTGCGACTTCCTGACGTACATGGGCACCAGGTTGTTGCTCCCATTCTTGTCAGGCACCTTGCTCTTGAGCCAGTTGGTGGCCACCCCTTTGTTCAGGCGTCCTGTCTTGGTCTCGTACTCCACCGTCACGGCACAGATGTGGATGGTGTTGGGGTGAACCTGCAGGGAAGGGATGTCAGCACCAGGCAGAGAGGGAGCACCAGCAACCCCACAGCTCAGTCCCTTGGGCTCAGAGATGGGGAGAAGTTTAACCCAACATTCACCTTGGGACAGCTATTCATGCCCTGGCAGATCAGAACTCCCAGTGTGCCCCACATGGCACCCAGATCACCACAGGACCACTGAGCTTCCCTTGGTACTGCCAACAACCTCAGGGTTTCAGTAAAGAGTGAATCCCAACCCCTAAAATGCCACCTTGCTTCCAAGCCCTGAAAGCAAGGCCTTTGGGCAAAGGGGAGCAGGGCTGGAGGGAGAGTGCTGGCATCAGGGCGCAGCTGGCTGCAGCGTGGGACCCTCTGCAGACCCCGTGGAAATGGGGATGACCCCCTGGAGATAACTAAAGCTGCCCCCCTCACAGCAAGGGTCACTAGGACAGATTCCCCATGCCCTGTCCCCTGCTAAGAGGGGGACCGCGGCACGGCGGAGCCGCAGCTGAAGCGCTCCCTCAGCAGCCGCCGTCCCTGCTGGAAGCCGCTCACCTTGGAGGAGGAGGCGATGGAGTAGTAGCGGGCCTGCAGGCGGGGCAGGAGCTCGCACAAGTGGTCGATGGGGGGGCGCAGCGAGGGCATGTCCTGCAGGATGGCCAGGATGTTCCTCCGGGCCTCCACCACCCAGCTGAGGTAGAGAGCCTGCGGGCAAGGAGGGCACACACATGACCTTTTTCAGCTGGCAAACACTCCCTCAGCTCTCCGTGCCCAGTGCCCAACAGTCCTGGACCCCTTCTGGGGATCCCCCAGCACCCAGTTCAACCCAGCAGTTTTGCTGGGAAGGCAACAGCTCCCACCTTCCCCTCGGCAGCAGACGATGCCATTTTGCGGAGGTGCTCCTGCTCGCCGGTGTCCGAGGCGTACTGGGCCAGCTCGTAGAGAACGTTGGTGCGGGGCGGGTTGGTGATGTCCAGGTAGTAGGTGAGGGCTGTGCGGTAGGACGTGGGGCAGGGGAAGGGATGTTTCTTATTGGATTCCTCTGGAGAAGAGGCAGAGGAAAAAAAAAAATTAAACATCAGCAACGACATGCTGTTACGTTGAGATTTCAGGCCGTGCAGTGTATGACAGCTGGAGACAGAGAAGGGGAACAGGCTTCAGGGAAGAGAGAGCAGCCCTAGGATGGAATCAGCCTGTTGGCCAAAGCCCCGATCCCAGGCTGAAGCAGCTCCAGCACAGGGCAGCTCCCTCTCCAGGCCGCTACATCTCCCAGTAGCCCATTTTGTGTTTCACAGATGCTGCCTGACAGCTTATCAGCAAAAAAAACCCAACCCCAAACCTGCATGCTCCCCATTAGGGTTCTCTGCCCCAAGACATCCACGCACAGAGGCACCCAACAAACTCCCAGACCAAGCTGGAGGGCTGTTCTCCACAGCTAATTTGGCCTCACACACTGACACCTCCTTCAGATCTGGCCTCAGCAGTGTCCTTGGTCTGCTTCAGCCATGGACAGTTGTGCTCAGACCCGCCCTGGGAAAGGTCAGCACCAGCAGTCAAGGCTGGAGCCATTCAGTTCAGCAAATCCAGAGGTTTGTAAGGGACAGGGATGAGTGTGAGGCCAGACAACACAGGACACTGCACAGGGGACAGAAGGCTCCGGCAGCAGATTAAAGCCACTTGCTCTCTTCAAACCAGGAACTCTCTTAGGCTGCTGGGCCAGCACAGCTGATGTCTCGGGTCAGGCTGTGCTGCTTCAGGAGTAACAGGGGCAGCAGCTGCCATCTCCCCCCTGCCAGAGGCCAGCTCTGCTGGGAACACTGCCCAAGGAGAGCCCTTTCTATCAGCACGAGGGCTCCCTCCTGGCAGTTCGGCCCCCAAGCCTGTGCCTCTCCAAGGGCCGAACAACAGCATCTCGGACACGAAGGCTCCTGTTGAGCTCCGGGGCTGCTGTGGCAGAGGGACGCTCTGGTGGGCTGATGCTCTGTCATGAGGGGTGGGCTGTAAGGTCACTTGGTGCCGAGTGGGCACGCTGAGCACATTTCACAGCTGACCCACTTCAGCTGGCTCTCAGCAAACAGGCTCCGTGCCACCGCTAAAACAGCACGGCATTCGGAGCGGCCATGGGACACCTGTTCACCTGGAGGTGCCCTGCGGGACCTGAAGGTGATCTGGCTCCTGCTCTGGTGGGAAGGACAGAGGCCACAGCCAAAGGAGAACTGCTGAGGCTCAGGGGTGATCCATACTCACCGTCCAAATTGTTTAGGGACATGATCGTGTCCAGATCCGTGCCCAGAATCTCACCAATCTGGTTCACCAGAGAAGAGTCGTTGGCTGGGTACACTGCCACGTGGTCCCCAGACTCGTACCTGGCACGAGAGCAGGAAGTGAGCAGATGATGAAACACCAGCACCACTTCTCACCCACCCCAGCCCGAGCTGCTCAGCTAGAAGACACGTGGGCTGGTGCAAGGGGCAGTCGGACAGCGCTAAGATCTGAGCTGCTGCACAGGCCCTGCACAACCAGGGATCCCGAAGAAGAGGCAGTCACAGCAGAAAGGACCACTGTGGAGTAAGGGCTTTAAGAACCAGGACTTTTACAAGGGGAGGTCCAAGAAAACAGCAGTTTTGCCAGAGACTTCAAGGAGGCCAGGCTTCCAGCAAGGACAGGCCCGCTCCTCAACAGGCAAGGAGCAAAACTGCTCAAAACCTCTGCACTATTTTGTTATGTTAAGCCACCTGGATTCCTGGCTCTCACAAGCACACACAGAGGAATTTAAGCCAGCAAGAGGGTTTTTAAGAACAGGGCTTTATTCCCCCTATGCTGGTACATTTTAGCCAAGCAAGCCCAGACATAAGCCACCCCCAGCTCTCCCTTCTCTCGTAGCCCATCTGCCCCTTCATTTTTTGAATGACTCCTAGAGAATTCTTACAGCTGGGACTGCTCGGGTAGGACAGGTATCTGCAGCCAGCTCTGGAGGGACTCACAGCAGCCAGCTGGCATGGCCAGGCACAGCCCAGGAGCTGGCAAAAAGCTCTGACACAGGGTACCTGATACGTGGTACAGAAGCCCAGAGGGGCAGTGTTAGGCAATTATGAGAACAAGGTCCCCTTCTGAAGTGCTGGGCGAGGCCAGCGTCGCAGCCTTGTTCTTTGCTCCTGATGCAGACTGCTCCTGCCACAGCAGAGGAGCAGTCTCCCGTGGGAAACTACCTGATTTTGGAATTGGAGATGTCCAGCTCCAGGTGCATAAGGTGTCGCTCTCCACCCTCATTCAGCTTGCGGTTCTCTGTAACCTGGGCCAGGAACGGGTTCTTGGCATCAAACGGTCTGGAAGGAAAGACAAGGACCCTCCGAGTCACTCTCCTGCAGGGTCACAGTGCTACCTGTATCCAGGCACGTTCTCTCTGCCACCCAGAGCAGGCTCCCATGATCCGAGCACAGGCTGTCCTGGTTCATGTTTCAAAGCACACCACAGCACAGACCAAACTATGATCCTGCTGCTACCCACGCTGGCACAGAAAACAGATCGTCTTCCTGCTAAGCACAGCCCAGCAGCCAACAGCTTCTGTGCCATTAAGTGATACAAAAGTGGAGGGACTGTCCCATATCAAAAAAATATTTCAGGTTGGAATTAATTTACACAGCTAATGTCCCCACAGCAATCATTAGCTACCCCGGGCGAGGGAAGGCTGAGTGACCTCAAGACAGACACCAGCCAAACAGCACATGTGAACACAGCCATCTTCTCACCACTGATGAGTCATTAACTGGGGAATCCCCGAGAGCTCCAGTGGAGATCTGAGCCCATTTCTCTTGGGCAGAGACCTGCCACGTGGCTACGCTGCAGAAATGACACTGCCTGCACGGCAGCTGTCGTCAGAAACATCAAGGAGCCATCAGCCAAAGCCTGGCCCACCGATACCCCGCCCAGGGTGGTCTGGCACTTACGGCTTCTGGTTCTCGTAGCTCTTGAGGCGGCCCATCTCACCGGTGTAGACTTTGTTCATGTTCACATCTGTGTGCACCACCAGCTCATACTGGCGGATGCTAGAGGAGGAAGGGGGAGAGAAAAAAGTCAAACTGGAAACCATAAGGTCAAGTTGGAACCATCACCTGCTTTGCTGGATTTTCTGCAGTTCAAAAACAAATGGAACTTCCACCCCTTCGCCCTTCTCCAGACATGAGGGATGAGGCAGATCATGCAGAAAGCCCAAACTAAGAGGAAACCTCAGCTTCACTGGGAGCATCACAACCCAGCAAAGCCCTCCACAAAGGAACCAGATCCATCACATCCCCATTCAGAGCAGAAATCCTGAGCTGGGTTCAAACTCGCACCAGGACAGGCTCAGTCCAGACAGCTCCTCTCACTGCTCTGCTTCACAAGTGCCCTCTCAAATCGGGAAAGGGAGGCAGTGCCCAGGAAAAGGGACAGCAGCTCAGGGCTGATAGCACAGCCACCAGTCAGAGGTGGCCAATCTCGCTGGTGCCCAGAAGAACCTGCTCCCATACCCACCTGGACTCTTCTCCTGTAGCCTCCACCCCAAAGTGCTCACACACTGCTGGCCAGAACTGCTCTCTCCAGGTGATGAAGTCTTCTTCCAAGCTAGCCAGGGCAAAAAAAGAAAGATTCAATAACCCTGCCCAAGAGGGAGAGATTCAATAACCCTGCCCAAGGGAGTCCTCCTCTACCATGGGAAACTGCATTTGCCCTTGGATCCACGCAGTTTTGATATGTCTGCATGCCCAGATCACCAGAAGAGCATCTTCAGATCACTTAGTGGGTGGGAGGAAACTGTTGCTATACCAGCCACCCCTCCCTTCACCAGGTCTGCCGAGGAAGGCTTTGCTACTCACACTTGGTCTTTAACCAGCTCAGCCCCCCCACTGCTCACTCCTGGCACTAGGTCACCTTCGTAAAAGGCAGATTCCACCACGGCAATGGTTATTTTCCTGGGGGCTCAGAGCCTCCCACACCCAGCTCATCCCTCTCATCAGAACTTGCAGCCCTTAGAGGTAAAAACCACAGGTTGATGTAATTTCCCAATTTCCCAGGTTAAGCTGCCATCCACAGGGGCTCGGGTGAGCACACAGAAGCTCCTCCCCTGCCCCCTCAAAAAAAAAAAAAAAGAAAACATTGTCCAAGTTGGAAAATTGCTGCCTTCCACCGTAAAACAACCAGTTCACTGGGAGATGCAGTTTGCCTCCTCCACACGGATGGGTGAGTTTATCCAGACAGACTAGGTCGGCAATGGAGCTGCAGCAGGCCAAAGGCAGAGGAGAGCGCAAAGGCTCCTCAAGAATATAACCATAGTGATCTAAAGCTGATGTGGAATTTCCCACACCTAGGATACTCTAAGCATACAAGGATCTGACTGTGAGAGAGAGCAGACAGTCAGCTCCTACAACTAGCCCTACAGAGTTTATTTCTGTCTTAGCAGTAGAGCCAACTCCCTGCCAAGGTCCCTTCCATGATGCTTTGGCCAACTCCGATCAGCCCTTCAAGCCAAGCTACTCACTTGCCATCGTCATCTCCCAGCCCAAGTTCAAAGATGCGTTGGGCTCCAAGCTCCTCCAGTCTCTTGTCCACGTACTTTCCCATGGCATTGAAGTGCTCGTAAGTCTTGTTGCCCAGCCCAAAGACCTGGAAGGGAACGCTGATGAGTATGGAGAAGCAGGGGCTGGACTTTTCCTATCCAGTTGGCCAGTATCACCCAGCAAAGGATGCTGAAGACAGACAGCAAGACCTCTCCCAGCTCCTCATCAGCTATTTGTGGACCTTGAGTAAGATAAGCCCCTGCCACTGGAGAGTGTCTGGTCAGTAGGTGCTCCCACCTCCCCCAAGCCAGGCTGCAGGCACGTCAAGAGGATGCACACACAGGAGCTGCCTGCACCATCTCCTCAAGGGACCAGTAAAACTGCCAGGAGACCCATTGCTGTCCCTTGCCTCCCATAAACCGCTCAGGAGATGTTTGCTCACTGCTTTACACAGAGCAGCTTCACCTTTCCAGAAGAGGATTTTCTCCTCATTTGCAATTATTAAGGAATCTGGCCGGAGTTTAGGTGAGGTGGCTGTACCTCAGCCAATTTTTCAGCTCAGCACAGGAAAAGAGCTACACACTCTCCCAAGTGATTTAATTTGCGGGAGAGGATCTGGCCCAGGGCTGCTCAATTAGCTTTAGCCGCCGCCGCCGCCGCCTGTAACTCATTTACAGACCTCGCAGTCAATGCCTGCTGGGCTGTTTGTGGCAAGACATTACCAGCAAGCCCCTGTGATTTAGGGAGTGGAGAGAGTAGTCTGACATCTGCCTTTAAAGCCCCCACATCTATGTTTGCAATGTCCATGAAGCTCGGGGAGGAAGACAATGGGCACCGCAGCTGACACAGGCGCCCAAGGCGCAGACGTCACGTTGTGCCGTTACCCAAGCCACGCGCAGGCACGGGGGGGGCTTTTGACTTTCCTGCCCAAATGCAGCTCAAACTGGAACTGAGCCACTTACGGCAAACCGGAGACCCGACAAGTCAGCATCAGCCTCCTGCAGCCAGTCGTAGAAGTCCTGGGCATTGTCCGTGGGGTCCCCCTCCCCGTAAGTGGCCATGCAGAACACAGCTAAGGACTTGTCGATCTCAGAGAGGCGACTCAGGTCTGCCTGCAACCAAAGGCAAGGATAAACCCACAATGTGGTTACTGGGCAAGCCTATTCCTACCACACAGGTGTGCAGAACTGCACCACGTGAAACAGCTGATTCCAAAAGGGGTTGGGAAAGGCCAAACCCACCCAAAATGGCAGAGGAAATAAAGCTAACCACCCTCCCCGGACTGCAAGGCAATACTTCTACCCCATCAGAAAAGCACTGGGATTTTCCGTACAAGGCTTTAAGGGACCCAGGACTGTGGCTCACTCTGGAGAACACCACAGTGTCAATGCCTCTGTCCCAGACGGCAGCAGCACGGGACCAATCCCAACTACAGAAGGAATATGGAGCAAGTTTCCTGCTGCCAATGGGTGACTCGCAACTCCCCAACTCTCCAGGCTGCCTTCCTCTTTCAGTCATGTTGCAGCATTCACTCCAATCTGTAGAATGGCAAGGGCCAAGCCCATCTCTGCATCTCTCAGGCTGATCTTTTCTTCACTCAATGACATTACTGAAAGGGCAACCTTGGCCAGGCTCTTTCTGGGTTTTTTTGAGGGGACACTAAAAGGATGTTACCTATCCTGAGGCTGCTCATGGCTAAATTACCAAGTCATACTCCTCTGGATCTGCTGCCATGCCCCGGAGGCCGTAACGATGAGCATCTTTGGAGAGACGATTGGCAAACTCCTCTGCTGTACCCGTCTGGGAACCGTAGAAAACCACTATGTTTCGCCCCTGCAGAGAAAAAGAAATCACTGCTAAGTGGGGATTACTCATTTGGCAAATGCACGGATGAAGCACATCTGCTCAGAGACAAAGGAAACGCGTAGGATCAGGAGCCCTGGACTGCAACCTAAAGGCAACTAGAGTCTGCGCTTCCATGGGACTCCATGCCAGGTTTGCAGCAGAAAACTCAAGGCTAAGCTGTCAATGAGAACCTGACCTGTCAATCTCAGAAGGGTGACTCAGGTCAGACTAAAACCCAAAGCAAAGAACAAACCCTCAAGGTTTCTTTTCAGCCTCGGTGCTGCAGCATGACTCCTGGAAACGGGGAACTCCCTGGATGAGAAAGCAGACTTGCCTAAGCTTTGGGAGTGCCTAAGCACTGGAGCTCCTGCTCTGCCACAGCCAGCTACTTGGGAGTCAAACAGAAAATATATCCAGCCTTGCTTCTTCCTCTGCTTCCTCTTGTGTTCAGTCCAGCGGACTCAAAGGCCACCAGCTCTGTGTATAATAATTCCCACTCCAGGATGAGCCAGTTTGGGAACCAACCACACCGATAAACAACTGCCAGCCAATGACTTTAAAGTCTCTGCCATTTCCCTCCTGACTTTGATCTTGTATTACACTTTTTTTTTTCCACCAAATTTTCACTTCGATTTTTTTCTCTAAAATCAACTCTCAGGCATAGACTGAAAGAGCTATTCCTGCCTGCCCACACAGCCTTCCTCTGGATGCTCTTTGCAGCAGACGTGTCTGTATCCAAACCAGTACCCCTGCTGACAGCCAGTCTCCAGAGGAAACTGGGAAGCACACAGGCTCTCCCACCTTCCCTGCACCCCACATAGCCAGAGCAAGGCGCTTACAGTCTTCTTCATCTTCTCGATGAAGCTGCTGTCTCTCACCGGAGCTGCTCTGAAAGACAGGAAGAATGAATGAATTTCTTTCAGATGAGCACGTTCACTCTTTAAGGTCAGGAAAAAGCAAGCAGGGAAAAAGCGGCCCTCAGATTTCAGGGAGGCTGCCCAAAAGGGTGAGAGTCCCCATTGACCACTCTTATTTACCCTGTCCCAGGGATGCCCGTCGCTCGGCTGCAGGGCTTCTCTGCGCACAACCACGGAGCAGGGACTCCGAGAGCAGAGGGGAAAAGCTGCCCCCTGCCTCACCTCCATTGGTAAATCCTCCCACGGGCAAAGCCCAGGCACCCAGCTTGGGGTCCCAGGAAACCCTGACTCTATCAGCTGCTCTGAGAGGTTTCAGAGGACCTCGCAGAGCTATGATGCAAGAGCAGTCTCCAGATAAATTTCGCAAGCCAAGAGCTCCCTGCTTCCCCCACCGCAGCACAGGCAGGGGATCGGCCCTAAGCCATGCTCCCCAGGGTGGAGTCCCCAAACCCAAAGTCAGACAGGGCTAAAATCCAGCTGTTCCAACCTCAAACCAGCACGCCAGACACGAGTCCCAGGGCTGGAGAGCCCCATGGAGCACAGACCCAGCTGATCAGACCCGCAGAGCCTCCAGCAAGGTGACCGCTGCCTGCCGAGGTCCTGCAGGGCCCATTCCCACGCTGGCCTTTCCGTCCCCAGCGCGGGTCTCCGGCACAGAGAGCGCTTGCATCACTGCACGGAGGCAGCTCGCTCTTGCTCGCAAGAGGGACAAACCACAGCAGCGTCAGAAACGTCGAGGCAGAGATTCACACCACTGCTGCTACCCTGTGGGGGAGGGAGCCAGAAGAGCTTTGCTATCCTAAGCACATCCATGGGTTTTCAGTGTCACAGGGTGAAAGCGTCCCAGCCCTGGGGACCCTGGGAGCCTCACAAGGAAAGGTGGCTCCAGCCACAGTCAGCTTAGGCACTGGGGTCTTTTCAAGGCAGGAGGACAAGCACCAGGAGCTCACTTGCTGTCTTTCCCTGCTGAAGCTTTGGTAGCGGGGAGGAGGAACGTGGGACCCATTCCCGTTTCTCTTTCACAATGGAAGAATGCAAGGCCAGGTCTCCTGTGGGAAGGGAGAAGCCTCCACGCAAAAAAACAAATGGCTTTGGCTCCAGCCCATACGAGAATGTGCAGAGCTCACTAACAGTTTCCTAAACTCTGCAGCCCAGAGGGAGGGATCTCTGCGGATGTGCCGAGACATTTGCAGAGCGCACACCCCCCGCCCCCAGAGCGACAGGGTGGGGGCCATTCAGCAAAGCCTGCCTTCAAGCACCCCTTTCTACCCAAAGGTACCAAGGAGCTCCATAAGCAGGCCCGACAGCTCTGAGCACTAACACATACAGCACGCATGGAAGACGAGCAAATCCTACCCAAAAAAGCTACCCGAGGCAGCCGCACTCCCAGGAGGGAGCTGCTTCACACCCCCACTTTGCGCTCTGAGCAGTTAACAGGCTCCCCATGTTGTCATTTGTCCCCCGTTGGGAACAGGGATATCACAAGCACATTAAGAGAGCAGCTACAACCCTGCCCACGCTACCACCGGGACGGGGGCTCGGGAGAGCTGCCCCCCAGCCCATGCACAAGACTCAGCTCTCACTTCGCTTTTGGCTCCCTTGTGAACCTCTTTGGTTTACTGCCCTCTGCAAATGAGATCCAATTAAAATAGCTGTTGGGTCAACTGCTAAACAAAATGCTTTTAAGGGAGGAAGAAAAAAGTTTGAGATCCTTTCAGCAAGCTCCCTTTGGAAGAGAAAAGGGAGCACATGGAGCTCGTCCGTTTTCAAAGGAGGCAACCCTGCACTGAACTGTTGTGGTGGAGAACAGTCTGTGGCTCAGAGACAGAAGAAATAATGAGTCTGGCTTTTGAAAAAAGGCTACACAACTCCCTGAAATTGCTTCATCAGGGTGGCTTGAAAATCTGAGCTGCAAAAATGCACAGACACCAGAGACAGAAATGACACTCGTTTTCACCGCTCAGCCAGGAAAACTTAGAAGAGAAAACGTGTTTTCAGCAACAACTGCTCTTACAGCTTAGATACCTCAGGGTAGCGACTAAGAGAGTTAGAAGAAGTGACGGGTGAAGGAAATGGGATTAACTCCATTGTGGGAGCGAGTCTTTAGCTTGTACAGATTGCCCACCCTTGGTGAGAGCCCACAGCACAAGCAACTCCCAGGGCTCTCTGTCACTTTGATTTCAGGAGAAAGAAAGGACGAGGGAGGAAGTTTCCGACAGCTCAGCAACAACATCAAAGTCTCCATCTCAGCCGAACACCTCTCCTTCAGAAAGCCCCCAAGCCCATGGCTTTAATCCCAAAAGCACACATACATCCAGAAGCGAGAACACAGCCTGGACATTGCGGAGAATCCAAGCACCAACAGCAGGGTCTCCTCTGGAGCAGCCTGCCTCCGAGCAGAGCTGCTCTCCTTCCTTCTCCTCCTGCCCCAGCAGGGACGTGCACCCCACTCCACCCAGCTTAGGGGCGGCAGGAGCAACCCTCCGAGTCAGAGCGATCCCCGCTGCCCATCGGGCAGATCAACTCACCTCACCACGGCCACCTCTTCTCCCGGCGCCGAGTAAACACAGCCCATGGTCGGGGCAGGGAAGAGGCAGACAAAGAGCGGCGGGGGGGGCCGGGCCGGCTGTGGGGGCGGGGCAGCCGTGCCTGTCTGTGAGGGAGGTGTGGGGGGCTGGATCTAACTTAGCTCTGGAGCAACACACACACAGGCCTTTCCATTCTGCTCCTCCTGGGCATTAAAGCCCAGCGTCAGCCTTTTGTTAAGGAGAAGAGAGCCGGCACAAAAGGTCCCGGCACGGGTCATAGCAGGAGTGGTCCTGTCCGCTCGGATCCTCGTGGCGGGGCTTTGGAAGTTGCCGAGTGGATCTGCGCAGCCCTGAGAAACTGCAACATCTGGCAGCAGTGGCAGAAAGGAATTAGGAGTGGAGAATGAAACCTCCCAGGATCCTCCGCAGCACACGTCCCTCTCCCATCCGTGTGGAGCAGGGGGACGGGACACAAAACCCTCCCCCAGCCTTGTTACCTTGGAAACTGTTTATATCACAGCTGCTTTTATATGTATTCTTACAAAAAAAAAAGTTGACGCTGTAGCTGAATGAAATGATTCCAGACACTGCGTGAGCAATGCTACGGGCAACTATGGCAGTGCCATTACGGAGGCAGCTCAAAGGAGTTTGTTCTCTTCAGGATCCTATTAAATTAAATTAGAGATGGTCTCTCTCTCTAACACACATGCAGGCAGCAAAGAGAGCTAATCAGGCTAAGAGGCTGGAGTAATTCCTGCCACAGGAAGCCTACAAGCACCAGGGAATGGATTTCTCTGTAGCTGCAGAATAGAGATAAGCCAATTTCTGCCCCAAACAATGTTAAAGACAGGGGGAGAAGGGAGGGGGTAACACCCAGCACACCAATCACTGTCTCATCTGCATCTCCCCAGGGTGACAGTCCACACTACTCCCGAAGAGGCATGTGAGAAAGGAAAGAAATCTGCAATTGAGAAACACGCAGAGGAGGTGCAGCCAAAGACTAAAAATAAATTAGTGCACTCCCCAGCAATGCCCCCGTGAGGAAGCGCAGTGGCCACAGTCGTGTGGGGATCGAGAGCCGCTCTCCCTAATGACATCTGCAGAGCAGGCTGCGGGGAAGGCTGCTCCAGTGGTTTCAATTAAGTCTGAAAACAGTCAAAATGCAAGTAACGCTCAGACGGCGGTACCCCGGCCTGCCCCACGCACACGCGTGGGACAACGCGGGTACAGGGCGTCCTGTATGTGGGAAACCTCTGCATATGCCGGACTCTGCCCCTTCTCTGGGGACTGCAGGCAGGAAAACAGCTCCACTGGGCTGTAAGGGTGAGGGATCAGCACCTGAGCTGTGGCTGAACCCAAAGACGCATCATCAGGGCAGGATCATGACCGCTCCTGGGCCATGCAGGCTGGTGGAGCCCTGCAGAGCTAACCCAGCCCGGGTGCCATCCAGAACAGGGTATTTTGACCCTACATCTGTTCTTCCACAATCAAGGGCAGTTGCAACAGAGGCCTTTCCTTTGCAGACCCTGCTGAGCTGACGTGGCTTGATCAAGGCATGCTGCTCAGCGGCAGCTCCCAAAAACCCCAGGAGGGCACCAAGGTGCTGGACATGGTGTTCAGGGCGGAGGCTCTGCTTGCGCTTTCCCACGTTGTAAGCAAACCCATCAAAGCAGCAGCCACTGGGATGCATCTGAATTGCTGTTCAGTCCTTCCGAACTCCAGTCTTCCAAGGCTCAAGCTGAAGTTGGGGGCCAAAGTGACACACAGAAACCATCACCCAATACTATCAGGTAAAGCAGTTCAGGACAGTTTGGCGAGTCAAGGCAGAGCTGCAGAGAACATGCTGAAGAAAAGCAGCACCTCTTAAGGTCAAGGCTCTCCCCTTCAGCCAGAGACAGCCTCGTTGAGGGCTCTCTGCCTTCACGGGTCTGGGACAGCTTCCCTGCCTGCAGACGGGCCTGCCCATGGACCAGCTTGCTATACCCACGCAGCCACGGGCAGCAGCTGACCGTGTGATCCTGCATCTTGCCGATTTGCTTGTTCATCAGAAAGGAAACTCCACCTCTGTCTCAAGGAGGGAAGGAAACCCAAGGCTGCACTAGCTTGTTTTCCCCACTCATTTCCCTCTCGGTTCCAAGTGATCCCTAAAATAACACTGCAGAAGCTGCAGGAAATCACTGTCTCTGTCCCAGAGGATGGATGTGCCACCAGCACGGGTCCGTGCTGCCCTCAGACCAGCTTGCTACAATGGCCACAGCAGGGCTGCAGCAGGGTCAGGCTTAACGTACAGGAAAAAACTACTCCAAAGCCTCCTCTCCCTCTTCCTTTGCCTGGCTGTCACTTTTCCAAAATGCAACCGTGTCAGACAAGGTCCAGAGCAACCTCGTCTCTCCACGCTGGTTATCGGTGACGGGAGGTGCTGCTCTTCCACAGCTCTCGCAAGGGGCAGTTGCACCGTGTTCCCCGCCAGCCATCGCCCACGCAGACAGAGAACACAGCACAGACCCCACCGAGGCAGTGCAGGCAAAATACGTGTGAGTCAGCTCAACACTAGTCTCGGATGGAAGCCCACGTGCTGAGGTCCTGCAGCAGGACAAGGTGGTAACTCCCACCCAGGGGGACTCAGAAAGCTTCTCTGCAGGGCGACATCTCTGCAAGGTCACAACAGCCTCTGAAGAGCTGCACGTGATGGGTGGTGGGTGGAAACAGCCCTAAGGACAGTAAGCACAGGAGCTCTCCGAGTCAATCTGTGCCATGTGGGGATCTAATTTCAGACTGATAGTGTCACTTCTCCAGCCGGCTTAGCTCTCCTCGCAGCGCAGCCATTCTCGTCACCATCTCCAGAGGCAACCGCGTGCACTGACATGCACAACCCGCTCTTGCAGGCACAAGAGGGAAAGGATCTGACCAATCCAACAAAACAAATTCCCGAGGTAAGGCTGAGAAGGCACAGATAGCTGGGCTGCTACCAGCCTCGCGTGCACCTGATGGCACACCAGGAACATTCCTTCGTTTTAAAACCTCCCCAGCCAGAAAACAAACTTTCCACCCTCCTGTGACACCAGTGCATGCAGCCTGCCTGCCAGTTTGCCGAGCTGTGTGCTACCCCTCCCGTTGCCCAGCGACTTCACAGCACACCTGGCATCCCAGCCCGGCCTTCAAGCAGAGGGCTCTGCCACCAGAGGAGTCATGATCTCACCGAAGCAGAAGCGATGAGACCAAACCTGCTCCTTTTCAATGACGACCTGAATTACAACACAAACCCTGGCAACCCACTAAGGCAGACGTACAGGTCTGAGGTAACAGACCCATAACCACTCGCTGTGTTTGATTTAGCTTTTACAGCTAAACAGGGGCATTAACCCCCCACTGATATGCCTCAGCTTATCACCAAACAGCCTCACCTGAGCAGCCTACAGACAGGTCCTGCCATGGCTTCTTCCCACACTGGGCTGTAACGCTTCCAAAGGAAGGACGGAAGTATTCCTTGCCAGAGAAGCACCCACTAAGTGCCACACACAGAGACCCACTTCACACAGGACACCTTGCTGGTGCAACCGCATGCCCTAAACCTTGAACCTACTGCAAGCAGCCAGACGTAACTTTCCCTCTCCTCATGGCACGGCCTCACCACCAACCGCTCGGGACTTGGCGGGGCTGACAGTGAATTTGCAGCTGGCATTGCAGACCCCGAGGACTGATCTTTGTTACCTTCTGCAAAGGCCTAACGCTGGAAAGCACGGAGCTGGGCTAAGGCGGAGGGTGGCTTTCTCTCCGGGGCAAACTGCACCCACACAGGGAACAGATTCCAGGAGACGGAAGCGAAAGGTATTGCACAACACCAGCTCCTACGGCCTCTGCTGCGGTAGGTTTCAAACCTCTCTTAGTGCTCTTACCAACACTCCAGAAGGAAACAGAAGGAATGAGCTAACAAGTCCAGCAGAAAACGGACGTTAAGTTTCATTCATATGTGACTGAGATAACAACTAAATACACCAAGATCTCCACCAACATGGCTCGCTCCTGGCCCTAAGCCCTTTGCAGAAGACAGAGTGGAAAAAGGACTTCTCCCTCCTCAAATCCAGCCTCCTGCTCCTGCAGTAACCTGGCATCAAAGCCAAGCAAGTTTCACAAGAGCTGCCAAGAAGCTCATGATCAGGAAGTATCTCCCAGCTCCCCAGGACTATTTCTTCTCTTCCTAGCTAAGGGTAGATAAGACTTCCAATAGGAAACTGGCTTCAGAGCAAGTCCACCTTTCTCCAGATTTATCTAAATATTATTCTTATCAGAAAACGCAGAGAATAGCCAAAGCAATCCTTAAGAGTTTTGAAGTACAGCCAGAGGCTTTTCTGCCTTGCCTTTTCTTGCCTTGCTTGGGAAAGGCAAATTCCCGATTTGGGCCACACGGTGGGGTAAGGCAGAACTGCAGCCTGCCTCCTCCACGGGGATTTCTGCACTGTGAGGTGAACACACAGCTTGTAAGAAAGAGGGGTGAGAAACACGCTTTGGGACCAAGTTCTCTCACCTGGGGACCTCCTATAATCCATCTCAGCCTCCTGCACAGCCTCCAAGAACCCACCATAACCAAGACAGACAGAAAGCTACGCTCACCCCACGCTGCCTGAGAGTTGTTACTTACACTGATTGCATTTTGGGGAGGTCTGGGACTTCCTCCTTTTTCTTCCGGAAGAAGAACCAGTAAGTAAAAAGCCCGATGATGAGCGAGACGAGAAACACGTCCGTCATGCTGACTAGAGCGTCTTGCTGCGTGGCGTTGTCAGGAGAGGAGACGTCCGGTTCCATGCCAGCATCCCCCATGACGGTCAGAGGCACTGCAAGCAAGGAAAAACCAATGAGCACCAGCAGTCACACAGTGCCACAGAAGAGCAGAAGAGCATTAACGGCCACTCGGAGCGTGCTTCTTCACTCCACGTTTAGCCCTTAGAGCACAAGGCAGCCCAACGACTCTTTGGAGAGAGGCTTTGCACCACAACACTGCGAGGTCCTGTTGTGTCCCAGGGCGTCTCACTGTCCCACCGAGTTTTCTGCTCCCGCTGCACCCGTGCCGATCCGTCAGCCCCTCGCTCCGGCCAGGGAGCCCAACCTGGCTCCTACTAACACCCCAGCAAAACTCGACAGGGACTCACGGCCAGCCTTTACTAAAGCCCTTACCACAGAGCCCACGGGGTGTTAGGGGGGGAAGACCCACTCTTCGAGTCACCCCACAGATCCGGGGCTTTCTCTCTCCTTTCCACAAGGTGATACAATGCCCCAGACCTACTGCTGTGCTTCTAAACTGCAGAGTGGGACTGTGGCGTGGTACTTCCGTGAGCACCCCTGCATTAGCATGACACAATTGATGAATGCTTCTGATTTACTATCCACCTCCACATGCAGATTGGATTTACTCTCCACCTGTTTTTTTGGTTTTCCCAGTTTAACTTCCTTCTCCTTGAATTACTCCTTTCCACCTGCCAAGGCAGAGTCTAAGTGACTTGTGACTTGCTCATGGCCATACCCAGAGTCCTCAGGAGTGCAAGAATGAGCACCCAGCCTTCAAGTCCTCGACAAGCCCTTTGGCCCTTGTCCTTCACCTGGGGAGACACCCACCACTCCCTCCTTTCCTCCCACTGCTCTGCCAAAGCTCTGAACTCCTCTGACCCTAGTCAGGGTCACCAGATTATTTTCCCAATGCACAAGGATGCACTCTGTCCAAGAAACAGATAATTAACTCAAAACTTGATTTGTAAGGACAAAGTGACTCTCTTCTAGTACCTGGGCAGCCTGCCAACCCAGGACACCATGGACATTTGAACTTGCACACAGAAAAGTGACTCAGAGCTGTGGGAGTGCCACCAGAGAGAAAGGGCACGTCCCACGGCTGAGTCAACCTGTTCAGCAAACCTGTGCCTGCCAGGGAACGCTCCCAGACAGCTTTCCTGGGGGGCTTGAAAGAGAAGCAGCAAACTCCAAGCTATGCCCAGGCTGAGAAATAAAACTGACTGAAGTTTAAGGTTATGCCAATGCATTCAGGAGCTGGGAAGAAAAGGGAAGGTGAGGCTTAAGAGGACTAAAGAGGGAGACTGGGTAAGGTCTTCAGCAAAGAAGAACCCCTTATTGTTACCCCTACAAAGAAAAAGGCCAGCCCTGGAGAACATGGAGTACCCCACCACAAGTCACCAGCTATAAAAGGCAGCTCTGTGGAGTGTAGGGAGATGTCCAGAGCCACCTGGCAGTGACCATGGGTGGACTCCCGGGTACTTTTGCAACCCCACTAGTTCTCAACCCCACCATAAGTTTAATTCCGTGGAGAACTCGGCAAATGACTGTACTATCAAGGGCACTAAAACACCACTGCAAAGCTTCCCATCAGGTTCCCAGAGATGATGGGGAATGGAAGAGAAATGCAAGTGATCTGACCGCAAACAAGCAAACTGCCCATTCCTCTCCATCAGGCAGGTCACCCTGTCCTCCCTCCTTGCAGACAGGCTTTCCATTGCTGGATCTCAGAGCCAAGCAAGAGCTGGGAGTTATTTCTGCACAACTGTAGACTAAACTGTTAGTTAAAGCCTCCACAACTGGAGCTTAGCTGCCAACAAGGCACAGCTCCCAGCAGGGTCCCTCTCCTCCTCCTTATTCAGTTCCAGTAAATCACTGAGGAGTCGATCTGGCAACTGACACCAAAGGAATGCACTGGTGGGGGGAAAAAATGTTGCTGGTTTATTGCCTTCCCCTGATGAAACCCCAGAAGTTTTAATTGCAAGCTCTTCTCCTCCTCCTCACTGCCACCCCACCTCCTCTGTAGGAAGATCTCGGCCAAAAACTGCCAGGCAAGTCATCCTCTCACACGTGGCTTTGGTTCTTGCCATCTCGCTCATCACTTGAATTACTCGTTATGTCTCAGGGCAAAGAGCGCCTGAGAGCTGCTGGTCAATGCTTCCCTGGGGAGCCTCAGCTGCTGCTCACACTCAGCGTAGCCCCAACTCTTCTGTAAAGAGACGGAGGAAGCAGTGCCCAAACATAAGCAGTGCCCAAACACAGGAGGCTGCCTGGATAAACATCTCCAACACTGCAAGGTGCATTTTTTTCAGTGCCAGATTACAGGAGGGTGGCCAGTTCCACTCACACAGGGCAGCAATGACCATCTCGGTAAGTTTATCCTCAGCAATGGTCTGTCTTTCACCCACTTTCCTTGACAAGCCCTTTCCCATGGCACATCAGACAACGACAAACCTTTGCTCAGAGGCAGCCGTGAAAAAACCCAACAAAATAAGGTTGATGGAGACCACGCTAAGCTGGTTTTGGGCAGGAGCTGCGCCCCTTCCTTTCCGAGCACTGAATCCAGCACTCACAGCAGCCGAGCCCTAGGAAAGCCTTCTTCAGAGAGCTGCAGCATCCCTTGTAACGGACTGCACGTGAAGGAGAGTTTCAAGCTAGACACGTCTTCGGTGAGCAGCAGCCAGCCCAGGGCGGAACAATTACAGGCTGCATACGCCTGGCCCCGCAGCGATTCCCCTCCCAGCTCCAGACTTCCAGCCATGGACATTCGCCAGCTCTCCTCATATAGGGCAAGAGAGTGAGTTCGTGGGTTCACGAGCAAGGCAAGAGCTGCGTCTCCAGCAGCACTTCATCGCTGTGCCCAGAACAGCAGAGCTTCTGGCCTCCCAGAGCCGAGGGGACAAGCAGCAGCCGTGAGGGGTTTTGCCTTTTCAAGCCTCTGGAGGTGGCCTGCTCTCCCAGGCAGCAATGCCTTGGAAAGAGGCAGCCTCAGGACAGAAGCTCCCAGGAATGCAGCATGGACGACACGGGGGAGGAAGCTGCACTATCTCCTGGCCTTCACCACGCTGCAGCTCTCCAGCGCTTCAAAGGGAAACCCTACAGCTGCAGCAGCAGCCAGACCACCCGCTCGCTCCCCACACCAATGCCAGAGGGAAGAGCACCATTTCTGGAGGCTTACGGGTCTGGCGCCTGGATCAGAGTCTAGGTTCAGTCTCCTCTCTTCATTCACAAGCCTCCATAGCATAAGGGTTACATACCAACCTCTAACGCTGGAAAGAGACGCAGTCATTCTCCAGTGATGGAACCACAGACACAAGAACCACTTTAATTTTGATGACGGGCTCCATCTGGTCCTGGACATTCAGTTATTCAAGTCCTATATCTTAGCTACGGGTTTTCCTTTTTGCTCCCCATCCTTAGGAAAAGGTTTCCTTAGATGTGTCGAGAGAAAGGCAGGGAATGTGGAATTAGACCTCACACTTTTTTTTTTTTTTAAAGGGTTGTCATAACTCAGGAACTATTTATTTAACTCCCTTCACCTAGCACAGGAAGATTATTCCTCAATTTATCTCAGTCTTACCTAGTTGGCTGTAACAAATGTTTTGCAGAAGTTCACAGCAACTCATTTTCAAACACATGTCCTTTTCTAAATTCTAGTGAAAAGAAACCTGACTCTTACTTGGAATTTAGCTATCCTGGAAATCCTGCAGTCTCTGGAAGGACCGTGATAGAATCAGATCAGGTTTTTAAAGGGGTACAGAAAAGTAGTCTATGATGCAGAAGTAAAAGTTCCCCTGACACCAGTTTCAGAGGTAGTTATTTTATCCCCAGTGTTTATTATATCTTCAATCAAGTATTATCTCTTCAATCAAGATAAGACAAACTTCCATTTCCCCTTTTTTCTCTCTCTCCTTTTTTTTTTTTTTTTTTTTTTGAATTGTAGCTCCAGTTCCTGGATCCTTATTTACACTCACAGTAGCTGCTGTAAAGCAATCAGTCTCAGTCGAGATGTGAGGCATCTACACCACACAGAAAAGTCACATTTTGAAAGACTGCAATCAAGTGATGCTGTATTTTAGCACAGCCTCTGAATGCAGTTTCTAAACCTGAGAATTTACTGGATACACAGCAGCTTGCAACCATTCAAATCAGCGGGGACCCTCTCTGCACATCTCCATGCTGCCAGAGGCACTTAGTTCTCACATTAAAAATCGTATTCCTGCTTCTCATGCACATCTCAAGCAAAGGCCTGGAAGCACTGTCAGTGCCAGTCATCCTCAAATTCCCCACGATTTCCACGTGGACTAAAGGTGCTATCACATCACAGCATCAAAAACATTAATATAAATAAAAATAGCACTACAACAAACAAGACGGGATGGGGAGTGCCCTAAAAGCCACGTGTCAGCAACCCAAAGAGATCTATTCTTTCCCCTCTCTTGCACACAGCCGGAGATGGTGCAGCAAATACCCCCAAAAGCATGCTGGAGCCCTTAGCTGCGCCTGGCAGGCACAGCATCATGCTCGTGAAACATGGCTGGGAGGTCTCCTTGTCCGCCAAATACAAGGATGTTTCCGCAAGTCACACTGTAGTGTCTTCTAGTGACCAAAAAGCCTTGTCTCTGAAGCAACGTTGGCTATTTGGGAAGGAATTTGGCTTTTTGAGTTGAAGTAACCTTTTATTTTTATAACGCTTGTGGTGAATTTCAAGTATCTCAGGACAATTTGGCTTCCTGGTCCCAGCTGAGGGCTGCAGCCTGCGACTCTTGCTCCAAAAATGTGTCACCAAGCCCTGCGTCACCAGAAGCACACCGTGACCTGTGGCACCAGCCCCGCTCACATGAGGGGGAAAGGAGAAGGAAGATTGCTGACCATGCACAGCCCCGGGCTGCTCGCTGCTCCCACTTTGATAACCACCCCTGGGCTCCAGCTGATCACAGCTCCCGAGCTCAGCTCAGCACAGCCCAGAGGGCTCCCCACGATCCCTGCACACCCACACAGCGACAGGCACGAGTCCCGCTGCACCCTACGGACTCTGCCTGCCCTGGC